AAAAACCTCAAATAACTCCATACAGAATCACATTCAGTTAGTTACATTTTCTGCCATCTGTCACAAACTATTATAGATTCATTTCTTTTTATCTTAGAAAAAGAGTGCTGCAGAGCTTAGCTATTTTGGCCAAGAGGGATTTCCACACAAATGTTTCTGCATTTTGCTTCAGAAGAATGATTTTCATTTTGGGTACAAAAGCTGAATGCCCACTGAAAACTTCAAATTAAGTAAAACTGAAATCAGAGTGGCACATGGTTGTAACACCTCAAATCAGTAACTTTGCCCAATAAGTTTGTGAACCAGAGCAAAACTACGAAAAGGTGGATTTTTTTTTTGCCTTTTTTTTCTTTACTTTAACAGAACTTGGAGCGAGACAAAAGTTTTGACTTACATTATTACTGCTCCTTCAAGCAGTTTGAAATAGGTGCTATAGCTCCTATAGCTCTGTTTAAGAGATAAAGTAGAAATTCTACTAGTTAGTAATAAAAAAGTAAAAGGCAAGGTACCTCTTACACGGTTACGGGAATAAGAGTGCTTGGCCACCAAGTCTAATTACTTCAATTAAGGATGCACAAATCCCAGGGCCGTCAGGGCAGCATAGCCTGTCCAGCGCCACACACCTCTCAGTCCCCATTGCCTCATCCCTGCGCCAGGGACACAGCCTTGTCCCGGGGAGTTTTCACTCTCATTGCTGCACCCCTTTTGGATGGGAAGGGAAAAGTCAGCACATAGGCAGCTTTGAGGGATCAGCGAGTGAGTCTGGTCTGGCAGCATTTACCCAGCACCTCCCAAAGCTGTTCTTATAATATCTGGAAAAAAGAAATTTTGCAAATTAAATACAGCACTAAATTGACCAACATCACATTTGTGGAGAACCGTCAGTTAACAAGGCAACACATTTATCTGCATGGATGGACCCTGACTTCTGGTCACCGTAGCTTCCTCAAGTTTGGCTTTATTGAAATGGAGACCTGTAAGGGACATTCTGTCCAGCTTGGTCACTTAAGAACTGGTAAATCAGGATTAGCCAAAAAGGCAGGTGGAGCTGAGCCACTGCACACCATTGTACAAAACACAATCAACAAATGGGCTTCTTCTGAATTCAGTACAGCCAGAGCTGCTTGAAAACTGAAAAGATGAACAAGCTAGTGAGGAGAAATAGCATTAAAACAAGAAGAAAAATAAATATAACAGCCTCAGCAGTCAACATTCTTGAGAATAAGCAAGCATCTATATGCATTATGAAGAGACAGAAGCAGAAAGATAAATGTATACTGTTAATTTATTTCTTATCACCAAGTTCACCTCAGTAGATCACTGTGTTCACAACATCTTTCAGTATAGGGCAATTAGCAGGAAACAGCAACCAAGAACAAGTTCTGGCCCTCTCTGACACCTTCCTGACTCTGCTGCCCTAACAAAAGTGCAACACCTCCCTACAGCATGGACCACTTGGAAAAGATGAGAAATATAGTAATAAATTCCAGAACAAAGCCAGGGGACGTGCCTGATGAAGCAGCTGAAGATGATGACTCAGAAGAGTGAGCAAGAGCAGTATGGGAATACCTACACCTCTTTTTTTTAAATTTTTAATTTATTTTTTTTAATTTTGAAGACTACAGCTCTTCACTAAATTCAGACTACCCATATATAATAATAATATAACTACCTATATTGTTCACCTGCAAAATCCCATGCCAAATCTGACACAGAGTTAGATTAAAGCAAACCTCTAGAAACACAAATAATAAAAAATTCAGCTTCTTAATGCATATCCAATGGATTTATTTTATTTCAGCCAAAATCCTGATGACGTTAAATGAAGTCTCAGAAATAAAAAAAAAAATCTTTGGATGCAGACATTTTTCTAGGTTATTAAAATTACCAAATTAGCCCTTGATGACTTGGACATGAGCTCTCAGCTTACTGTGCATTCATCATTAGGAAAAGAAAGTAATGTAGAGCACATTCTAAATTTTGTAACATATTGCATTGAAAAAGGCAGTCCAAAATCCCAAGGTACCCAGGAGATTTTGCGGCTGGGACACGAGCTGGTGGGGTTTTTGAATCCATGTCCCTGTTCAGGCCCTCCAAACCCCACCAGCCCATCAGGCTCCTGTGCTCGCTGCTGTCCGCCCTCTGCTGTCGGAAACGTAGAAAGGAGACATGTGTGCTCCCGAGCGCTCCACAGCTCTGCCACACAGCATCCGACCACGGCAGTTTCACATTGGCTAGAAATCAAGTGAAGGAAAAAGGAAATGGAACAAGAGAGACAGACCCGGCTGTTCTACGGGAAAAGAGAATCACAGAACACTGAGAAGCAGCAGTTTTTAAACTGAAACAAACATTTCCATAAATGTGTGATGCTTGCCACAGCAGGAGCAAAACTATGAAAACTACACTGAAAGCAGGTTTCTAAACAGTCAGAAGAGCTGCTCTGTAACTGGAACTGCCACAGCAGCCATGTGGGCAACCCCACGAACCCCACGAACTGCTTCCTGTGCGTCGCAGCCACACGAAAAGTCCTCCGAGTCGCGTTAGAACTCAAAGGCCAGACCTTGACTTCTGGCCTCCCGAGCACTGTCTCAGCTTTAAACTTCGCTTCCAGACCTCTGCAGAAATTTTTTAAAGCACCAGCTGAGTGAAAAGAATTTCCTTTATCCCCTGTTCCTCTTCAATAACGCATTTGAGCAAGTGATGACTCTCTACCTCCCAACCATTTTACCATGGCCTTTCCCATAAAATCTATGACTGATAAAAACCTATCATCTCTAATAACATATAAGTTCTTATACTTATCATTGAGCATAACAAGGAATACTTGAAGTTTGCTGGCATCTTTCCCATAATTTAAAAACGAATAAACAAATAAATATTCTTTTCATCCCCATCCACTTTTTCCTACCAGTCTCACATTCTTCAGCAAGTTTTCGCCCATTCATTTACCGAGCACCATCCTCTAATTCATAAAGGACACTGAGAAGCTTTGCATGGACAATGGGTGCTGCAGTCCTGGCAATAGCACGAGCAGATCTGTGTAGTGTTGACTCATATTCTTTAATATCTTCTACAAACTTACACTCGCTTGCATTAATGATGAACTTTCTCATTAGTTCACAGGAAAAAGCAGCAACAGGACTCCAGCTAAGAGTCCCAGTTCCTCCACTGCTGTAACTGCACTTAAATACTTTTTTGGGTGGTTTTTTTTTTTGGTTATGAGTTGAAGCAGAAGGCATTTAACTACAACAGAACTCCATTTCTTCTTGGCATTCACTCAACATAAGGGAGCTGACAGCAAAGAACTCTTATCCAGGAGAGATCAAGAAGGGATTCAGACTACTCCTCATTCACATTTTCTTTTTAAACCGTTTTCCCTTTAACTTGTCACCAATCAAAGTTACCTTACGTAACCAGACACTTCCCACACCAGAGTGACTCAGCAACCAGCCACACAAGGAGGCAGCTGGGGAAACACTTTCCAGTCCCCAGCACAGGGTCCATATTGCTGGATTGCCAGAGCTAATTATACTTGAAACGTCTACTAGAGGAGAGAAAGAATGAAGGAAGAGACTGAGAAAGCACCTGCCATCCTGCCTCCCACACAGTTGTCATTTTGGTAGATCTCACAGTAATTTCTCCAAATATTAAGCTCCTCCAGCGAAGGCCCTGTTAGCATTGTGCTGAAGTACAGGGCAACAGCCATTTGGTATCTTCACCAGTCTGGTGCCAGCACAAACGGCACACACACACCCACCTCGATCCAAAACCCATCCCATGGCATTGCAATGAAATGAGAAGTGTTCTTGTTCTTGATGGGTGCTCTTTGGTTTTGCACCATTACTCTGAAATTCTCCGGAGGGGTCTCTTCAGTACCATCACCTCGATCCGAAACCCATCCCATGGCATTGCTGTACGCAGCCCAACGAAATGAGAAGTGTTCTTGCTCTTGACGGGTGCTCTTTGGTTTTGCACCATTACTGTGAAATTCTCCGGAGGGGTCTCTTCAGTACCACACGTACAGAAGGTCCCACTCTGTGTGCGCACAGATACACAGCGCTCAACAGATGAGGACAAGTTCTTGTTCTTACACTGGATCCTCTCACATGAAAAGCAAACCAGAGACAACGGAGACAAATGCTGCAGTTAGTCAGAGAGGAAACGATCCTCATGTGTGACTGCCGAGCAATTGTCAGTCACCTGGCTGGCTGTTCCCACAGGGAACTCAGCTATCTTTACCTGCGCTGTTGCTCCTAAACTTCCCATTTCTCATAAGCATGGAAGAGCAGAAAGCAGAAGACAGACCACTGTTAAATTTGTTTAAAACAAGACAGGCTGGATGCTACGTGGAAATCTTCAATCCACACAAGTTCTTAATGGAATAGTAATACTGGTAGATATTAAAACTAATTTTTCTTGCAGCAAATATAAACAGAAAACTACTGACTGTATTTCACCATGTCTGCGCGAGGTCATCAAAAATACTCTGATGGAGCCTGTTTGTCTGTTTTATGTGAAACGCATTGTTTTCAACTTCCACTAAGTGTCTTTATTATGGCAAACTTCACAAAACCCTCAGCAGGACAAAGTAAAGCTCATACATACAAACGTCTAGGACGTGGACAGCATCAGTGACATTCTCTCAGTTACCAACAGATGCTTTGTTAATAAAACTTGCATATACAAATGTCCACAAAATGTCTTAACAAGATCAGTTGTGACAGCTAAAGATAACAGCTGCCATCATGCTAAGTCATATCAAATTACTGCAAAGAGACTTTCTGTTTTCCACATTGTTAACTCAGACTACAAACAAATGCAGTAATCTACAGAGGAACTCAAAGCGCAAGATATTTCACATCACGTCTGCAGAAGACCAGTGACTCTGAGGACCAGATAGGGAAATAATTCTGAACAGCTGGAAATGGTAATTGCAGCGTAACGCAGCAAAGTCAAACACTGCTTCCCAGAGTCACCCAGAAGCCAGAGCCCAGACCTACCTTAAGATACAGAAGCAGCTCTTGGCCCCAGAAGACAGGCGACAGAATCCAAACCTCTGCTTGCTGTCAATGTCTGTAAGCACAAACGTAAAGTTCTGCCCAACTTGGTTAACTGCATGGCTGAAAATAAAGAGAGCAAAGAGGAAAAAAATTAATGCTGAGATAATGCCGTGTCAAAAGTATCTAGCCTAAGTCATTGAACCTACAGCATTTCCTCTTTCAGCACAGGGGCTTTTTTTGAGAAATTAACTTTTAAAACACACGCTCTCTAGAAACTTAAATATGCCAGTTGCTTGGTGAGGGAGAAGGGGGGTTTGGGTTTTTTTTAGGTGTGGGAGGATACTAAAAATGCGTTTCTCTTTAAATGAAAATGGTTCTGACTATCAACCATCTTCCCTGCAGCACACACTGTACAAACCAAACCCATGTTCTCTCACACATCCCAAAATATTTCTTCATTACTCTTCATTTGAGAATTGGCTTACTCCATGAGCAAGACAGTGTTTAATAACATGTTAAGCTTCTTCAACACTTGGATATTGACTGTAGAAGCTTATTATCCATCTACCAGTTTTGCACATGTGCCAGACACACCGTTCCAAAACATGCAGCAGCTGGAACCAATCCATGTGCCTCCCCTCTGCTGCAGCAGCTCGGCACTCGGGTAAAAGAAAGACTACAACGGTATGCAAAGGAAGAAAAGATAACCTAGAATCAAAAGTGCACTGTGCTAACGCCAAACATGATTATAAATGACAGGAAAGTGCCACAAAATTACTTTTTTCAAAATTCACAGTAATTTGCCTTATCCGTAACATCTTAACGGCTCTTCAAGTTGAAGAAGTAATAGTTTTAGAGGTTGGCTCCTACTCACACCACAGAGGAAAGTATCACCGTAGAAAAGTTTGCCCAAATTGGAAATACAGTTTCGGAAAACAAAACAAAAATGCACAACCAACAACAGCCACCACCAGCACAAACACACACCCCACAACCACCACCCAAACAAACCAACCCCCAAACTCAGCACTTAAAAATCAATGTCTTTAAATACACTGTAATTCACATCTGTATTTTACCACTCACAGGTGATGCCCAAAGTAGCAAGATAAGATCAAAATAAGATGCTTTACATTTAAAGCACAGCGCTTTCTGAATGCTATTAACAAAATGAAAAATATTCTTGAGGTATTACCAAATTTGTCAGTCAAATGGGTGGAAGTCACCCAAACTCTTGTTTACAGCGATGGGTGACTCCATATAAACCAAGCCCAATTCACCTCCCAGTTTGCAGAGATGTAGTTTTACTGTCTAAAAGAAATTTTGACATTTAGTGGTGAAGCCAAGACTACTATAACTATTAGAGGACTTTCCATTCCCATTTTAGAACTATTTGAGGCCTCATTATGGTGTGAAGTTAACACTTACTTCAGGTTTTCTAGTTTATTTTAGGTTTACTGAAAACTGAGAAAACTGACTAGCATTTACATCTGCATCTTCTCCAGTCACAACAAACTCCATTAAATTCAGGGCCATTTAACGAACAGCCACAAGCCTTAAAAGCAAGCAAATACTCTCTTCTATGATGTTCTTCTTCTTGATGATGATACAGCACAATAAACTGTTTATGTGGGAGATTATACACTCTGTCTACAGAAAAAAAAAGAAAAATAAGACATTTTGAAATGAAAGTTGGATCTGGATCAGAAAGATGTCCCTGTCCAGCTTAGAAAGAAGAATCCTTCAGTGGATTCCAAATGGAGAAGGAAAAACATGCAGTGATGAAGACCAAAAGTGCTCCAAATTCACAGATGAAGAAAAACAGATACGTAGAAGCATTTCAGTAGTCTGAGAATTAGCATAAGGACTATCATCTTACTGAACTGTAAATGGCAACAGAGCAACCATCTCCACAAACTGCACTGAGCTGCTAGGGAATACCAAAAAATCCCTTACTGGTGGTGTGTTTTATCTGCAAAGCTTGGATGTAATGTTACTATGGTGATTTTAGTATGGTGTTTTAAAAGGGGATTATATGCTTAATTTTAACAAGGTTGAGAGCAGAGCATGTGTGAGAAATAGCATTCTAGCTGACAATTAAAATTATGAAACGGGGGGAAAAGCTTCATTTGCAGCAGGGAGAAGCATGTTTATTAAACAACTGTGCCAAGCTGGGGAGTTCCTCCAAAGCAAACCTAAAGATTCTTGCATTTATGGGATCTGCAGAAACTGAAGATGTCCAATAGGTCTTGCTCAAGTTTCAGTTGTCTGTTCTTCACATGGAAGGGTAACTTCCCAACATAAAAAGTGCTTTTCTTAAGGTCTTAATGTCAGTACTTAAGATTCACAGCTCTATTTTCAAATGGGAAGATCTATATAGAAGCCAACAGGATGGAAGCACCATAAATCTCAGCCCTAAAGGGGCAGACTGAAGTTTGGGTTGGAGGGAAGGGGAGAGAAGAACAGTGATTTCTTAAAAATACCCCATCACTGGCTGTATGTGACACAAACGGATCCTGATACCATATTTGACTGGGTGTTCTTTGCTCCTGCAGTTGGGAAGTAGCCTCTGCCTTGGTCCCGCAACCGTAAGAGCGGCAAACTCACGGTTCACTGCCTAAAGGAAGGAGCAAGACATCCCTGGTGACTTTTGACCACTGGTAATAACATGTGTCAAAAGAATCAATATAAAAAGAACTAAGAGTCTGTGTCAGTGAGTGCCTAAAGTCTAACTGGTGGAAGGAAAAGTAGCATCTGTTCTTTAGTGATGCATTTCTGATCATTTGTATCAGCATCTCTTCATCGGGATCCATACAGACCATCTCTCCACAGGTCCTGCAGAGCATCTGCACAGTAATATTCCAAGAGAAGGTACTATCCCATGGTCCTGAGTTATGTGAACAATGAGCCAGTACCTCCACTGGAACATTAAGAACAGTAATTTTTAAATCTCTCAACATCACAGATAGATTCTAATATTAAAATTGTCACAGCTAATGACAAGGCAACCTAGTTAACAGGGAATAGTACCCAAGTCTTCGGAAGGCCTTTGCTAAAGCCACTTCAGTGTTTCTCTCTCTTTTTGTTCAGAATGAACAAAACAATATTTATTTAAAAAACACCCCGAGGACTAAGAATTACAGTAACTGGAGATCTGATCCAACACAGCACTTCCCAGGCACATACAGAGGGCTAAAATCCCACTAGAGAGTGCTAGTCAACTCCGTACACCACCACTGCCAGGACCTTTCTGACACACCACTGAAGACAGTGTTTCTTGTATCAGCAATTTCCTTTCATCTCAACGTAGAAAAAGTGTTTGCTGAGAGACTGAGGGGAATATTAAAGCGTTGCCTGAAATAACTTCATTATGGGGCTACCTGCTCACTTACTTCAAATAACTTTATTTTAAATGCAATGTAAGAAATGTATAAATCCTCAGTAGTTGGTTAACAGTAAACAGAAAAAACCAACTACTGCGAATTCGTCACTGCTAAGCTTCAGACACAGCCTCTAAGAGCAGGCATTTGGTTCTAAATTTGGAGGCAGCCAAAAGATGAAGAACATTTCGCACATAAGATGTGCTGTACTTTGCTCTTTATTGTGGTCACATCAAGTTCATTTCCACGCAGTGATATCGGACTGTTTACCTTCTTGCTGTACCTGGCGCACAGTCCAACGCTAAGTCAAATGTACAGTACAGAGGACTATAACAAGTATTTATTTATGTATGCACCTACGCATGCACGTGTGTGTGTGCGCACGTGTGTATTTTCACACCAAGACTGGAGGCAGCACACGCATCTCTCAGCTGCCACATCCTCAACTTGGGACAGCCTCCACCTTCGGGAGTATTGGAAGTCCTTCTTAATTTTAAATTACCAAGTACGCTATGGGTTACAATCTCTCTTTTATGTTCAAAATGGTTGGCTTACAGTTGTCTTTTCAGTGACAGTCTGTGATATTCAAACAAGGGAATCCAGAGATGGGAATCACTTTTCATTATGTTCTCATTTGCACCCCATATGGGTTTTCGGTGTTTTTATCTTTCAAAATGTTATTTTGCTGGGGAAAAACAAAAACCAACAAAGCAAACAAACCCCCGAGGTACAATAAACCTACACATAGTAAGCATAAATATTTCTAGTAGAAACACATACACGAGGAAAATACATCTGAGTGCTTCCCCATTCCTTCTCCTTAGGAAAGCAAAAAGTGATTCCAAATTATGTGAAGTATTTGTGTAGTATTACGTCGACTCCCGTCTCCAGAGAAGCAGAGTGAGATTTCATCTCCATTCATAGAAATTAGTGAGCAGTGTTTCAAGTTAACCAAAAAATACCAGCTGGCCTATGGGTGGGGGGGGAAATGGGAAAAAAGAAAAAATTAAAAATTGAGCAACGGCTCAAACAAGAAGCGGTAGCAAAAATGGTTGTGGATTTATAAAGAAAATCCATTTCCACTGTAAATATCACAGATTTCACTGAAATGAGCAAGAGATTTCTAGCAGTTTAATCACTGTTAAGGTCAGTTTCATCAATCAACAGCACCCGGTGTCAGCCGACCTGCGCCAAGGGACCCGATGCTCAACGATGCTCAGAGGCAACACGAGCAGTGCTGCATCCCTTCACAATTTCACTGCTTGTTCTCTTCATGAAAGCATCAAAAATAGCTAACAGCAAAAGCAAAACTAACATCTAAAAAAGTTCTAGAGTTTTCTAAGTCACAAGAATTCCATCTCCTCAGTTCCCATCAAATCCGCTGTAACTTACTTTTCAATTTTTCCCCCAAAAAATCAGAAGCCCCGTTACACAGCCACCAAGTAAAGCATCAGCATTCCAACAAGGTCAAGGAGCCTTTAAATGTAAAGCACTTAATTCATTGTCCTACCCAAATTTTGGCAATTCAGAGATAAAATACACACGCACACAAAGCATTGATATTAATATGTATATCTGACAATGACTACCCAAGCATTTTCACATTCAAGCATGGCGTAGAAGTAAACCAAGAGGCACTCTCACCGCTGCCACCAAACAGCCTCAACTTTTAAAACTTTTTATTTTTTGATAGTGCCCATAAAAACCCCAGGAAAAAGTGATTCTAAGACTATAATTTGCACTTGGGTGCTTTAAATCACAGTCGAGCAGACAGAACATCAAGAATGGTATGGTTTTTATTTTCTACAGCGGTTTTATTGACAAGCTTATTTTCTTGTAAAGTTTGAAAAGCTAACACTACCTGTCCACATAGAAGGGGAAACAAAACTTGGTCAAAGTCTGTAGAACTTCCTGTGGAGAGAAAAAGAGATAATTTATACATCTATTGGGACCAATAAATCTAATATTAACCACATCACACAATTTCACAACTTTGCCCTGAAGAAATAAGAGACAGATGAAGAAATATGGGCTTTATCAATTACATGAAAAGAGTACTAGGCAGTCAATCACGTGAAATAATAAACACGATCAAACTTCATTAAAAATGAAAAATTAATCACAATTCACACATGGGCAGGCAGCAGAAGCCATCCACAGAGGAGGAGGAGGTGGGGCTGTCGAGTGTTAACACCTCTCCGGGGACCGGCTCTGCCCTGACCAGATGGATCGCGGTGAACAGCAGCGACCCACAGGGCCCGGCCTGGCAGCACCGCACTGCGGGCACCGCTGCGGCCGTCTCCTAGGAGCAGGGGCTGGGGACTGCACAGCACTGTCCACAGCAGCACCAGAAATCACAAAGAGAGCCAAGAGGTCTCGGAGCAGCAATGCTTAACGCTGTCATCAGAAAGAAAATCTGGGTGTTTAAAGACAGATTAAAATAATGTGCATTAAGATTAATACAAATGGTTTAATCCACAAACCATTTTCTAAGTGCTGCAAAACAGCACCACGGACCAAGTTTTAGGTATAACTTTCGCATAATCTCAAATGAAAAGCGTGAATGTGAAAACTGAAAACTTGATCAGCAGAGAAATCAATCAACTTTACAATTTTAAACAAATACAGTCATTAAAGAGGCAAAACCAGAAACATTTTAGTTCCAAAACAGTCGTGTTCATAGACAAAAGTAATGCATTTACATTATATTGTTCTGTAACATTCAAAATCTGAATGCTATAATCCACAGCCCGTCATAAAGGTCTACCCAGTTCGCAGCCCTTTACTACCAGCCAATTCACTGCTCATTTTCCTTTACGCTTTAATATTTCAGGACGCGAAACGTAAACTGTATTTCTGCTGTCAGATGGAACAAGATAACCCTGACTAAATGACAAACCCTCCGATAAATTCAACACTTTTCTGACCAATAGCAATAAATTATCATCAATAACTAAACTGATGCTTCCCGCTTCATTTATTTCTAAAACCAACGCCATCATTCAACAAATAAGTGACATCAATCTAATAACCTCTTCAATGGAGCAGAAAACATATTGACTCCCTCACAAGAGCACGTTCCTCCTCCATAATTCAAATAAGCACACCCCGTTCTTAGCGATGGTTTCAGGCTCAACTGCTCAGGCTCTTCTTTGGAGGTTTCCTGACAACTAAAACATGCCAAGTTCTTAAGATTTCAGGCAGAAACAGATATGGAAACTTGGACTTCTTGACAGTTTATTGATAGATTATTTAACAACCTCCTGTTTTTAGAGAACAACAAAGGCTCTACTGAAGAATGCCATGTGAAGCAAAGAAGTACCCTCCTTTCCAGTCCAGCAGGAAACTTGGGCAGGAGCTGTGTGCGTTTCAGAGTAAACTGCAGAAATACCTGTTTGATACAAAAAATGCCTTGATCATAGAGGCCTCCTCAATGTGGCTGGGCTCACCCAACTCTGGTTGCTTGCACACAAAACCTACAGCTTGGCAAGTTGTAACTTTTACACGGCTGTCCTTTACCCGCAACTGGAATCTCTATGCATGTAATGATAAAAAGCAAAGCAAAACAAACACACCACAGAATTCTAAAAGAATCAAAGTTCTAATCTATTTCTGGAAACAAAGCCATGCAGCTGCTCCACAGAGTTCTGAAATATAACAGTGTTAAAAGATAACGAGACACTGGTCACCTCAAAGTGGCAGAATATACTGTCACCACTGGTTTTATGTTTTAAATAATTCCTGCAACTGCAAGTATAAACATTCACATAATAAACACTTTAACATCTCACCGGCATTGTGTTACTGTAGGGTAACAGCATATTCCTCAGAACTTACTTTGCATTTGTTTCTTGATATTTATAGACTCCCAAATACAGAAAATGAAATTTTCACTTAAAGAGGCAACGCACTGAAGCCGTAGCACTGCACATCCTCGTGTCTTTTAAAGGCAAGATTTTACGGCGATATTATTATAAAAGTCACTTAATGTGATTGGACACCATTTGCCACTCATGAGACACCAATACTTAAGTGCCTTGATTTACAACTAAAAATTGGAGACTAGAACAGGTTAACTACAGAAATATTTTTAAATTTTAACTATTTAAAAAAAATAATTAGCTGTTAATTAGCAAAACTGCTGATCTTTTGCACGTAAGAAATACAATTACTGGAGAACTATTCAATTTTCACTCAAATTGCAAGCTCGGTACTATAAACGTAATTTTGTTTTGGTTTTTTGTTGGGTTGTGGTTTTTTTTTTAATACTGCTCGTTTTGAAAGGTTTGCAATGTCTACATAGTGCACCACTTCCTACCAGACCCTCGTTAGGTGGGTGGTTACTTACGGCCTAGAAAAATCATCATTTCTTTAGAAATTCAAAACAAAACCATAACAAAACCAAAACCTGGAATCCCTCCATGTCAGCACCTTATAATCCTTTTATGTTTTTACCTGACATGAAACACAGAGGCACCACCAATAGCCTGTTTTCTTATTCTATTCCCCCATGTCTATTTTCTTAAAGAGAAACCTCCATAAATGCCTCTAAAGCAAAAGCCCCTAAAAAGAAGAAGAAAAGAAAGGAAAAGCCCCAAACGATGCAGGCCAGGCAGCTGAGAACCGTAAATTACCCGGTAGCTGAAGCGGCGTCCCCAGGGTCTCACGTGCCAGCGTTCTGGATCAATCCCCAAGTTTATATTTTCACAAGTCTTTTTACATGCAGTTTGATTCTTAACATTCTAATGAGCAAAAAGTGCATCCAGAGCAGGCAGGCACTGCAGCGAAAGTGCAGGGCATGAACCGTGTCCCCAGGGGGGCTCGGCCCAGCCGTGTCACCGGGGGCTCGGGGACATTCACCACCTGCTTCCCCATCCCCAGCTTCCAACTCTTTTCATAATCAAAATGCGGCTGACATTATAAACCCCACATGGGCTTTCTAAAATCCTACCCAATCAATAACGCCAGTACATAACTTATCGGAGACAACACAGAGCTCATTGATTACGTTTGGTTTCAGTAGCAAAGTTTTCAAAATAAATGAGGCAGGAATACAGCGTCCAGCCCTCGTGTGTCACATCGCCATTTCCGAGGGACAGGGTTTGCTCCCCACACACACCAGAGAGACTTGAAAAGCGCCTGGAAGGCAAGGTTGGTACATACACACAATACACCCTTGGCTTGTGTCCCGAATTATCTATAGACCGAGCTGAAATAGTACAGAAAGCTCAACATTGCTGAAAAATTTTGCATATTCCCTTATGAATTTAATATGCAAGCTGCATCTTAACTCATGTTGGTTTTATTTTTATTTTTAAACCTTTCACTATATGCCCCCACTTGCAAGTCAATGGAACAACTTCAGAGCCTCTCAAATATAGAGCATCGCTTTATTTCTGCTGTTCAAGTGAATATTGGTAACAAATATTCCAGGCTGCAGCCACAACTAAATAAAATGCTCTGATAAATGATATGCAAATCGCTGCTCTAATGCAAGAAGAGCAGCAGACAGCTGCAAACAACCTGCTCTTAGGAAGGTGCACAATGCAACCCACATTCAAAGCGGAACAAGAAGTCTAAGTAGAAGTTGGAGAGAAATGAGATCAGAGTAGAGGCTGAGATCTGCGAAAAATGACCAATGATTATGGGAAGGCACACGAATGCTAAAGCCAGTCAGAGAAGGGAAACAATGCACCACAGAACCCAACAGGTTGGGGACCTGCTGGGAAAGCTGAGGGAAAACAAGACGAAGCTGGAAAGACTACTCAGTACAGATGAGACCTTTAGTTGTGGATCACGGGGATTAAAAAAACAAAACAAAACAAAACAAAAAACCACACCAAAAAATTACTCAAAAACCCCACAACCACATTTCAGAAAGCACATCCATTTTCACAGGAGGACAATTCAAGTATTGTAAGAGAATGGAGCCTTGCAAAGAGATTTCCATGGAGAGAAGAGATGACTCAGTGATGAAAAAGACAAATGCTGGTTTATTCTCTTGACCTTAAAGCAGAGGTGAGGCACAGGTGAGGTTGCTGTAAGTGAAACGTCACACAGAGGATGGAAATACAAATAGTGTTCATCTTAACCAGCTTGAAACGCCATCCGAATCCAGGAAACAAACAGGAAATTATCCTCTTTGCCTGGGGGGGACACCAAGAGTCCCCAGAACACAAGGACAGGCTGAGGAGAGGCTGGAGAGCAGCGAGGGCTCGGGGAGAAGGGACCGGGAGGGAGGACAGCACCGGGACCCCGACCTGAGCAGCAAGCACCTGGAGCTGGATTTATTTCTGGTCAGAAACAGCACTTTAAACACGGCAAAAATGTTAATACAGCGTAAAAAGAGCACTAAGACACTAACTGAAGCAAAATAGTATTGAGTTATTTTGAAATTTGGGTAGCGCATTAATCTACCTTATAGCCACAGAATTGGAACTGCTCTTAGCTTAAAAGTATTCAAATAGATAAAGATAACAATTAAATCACCCATCGCAATGGGACAACAGGTTTAAGTACCCAAACCAGTTGTCTATGCACCCAAAAAAACCAAACCTGACAACAACTCTGCTTAAAAGCCACAGGGTGGTGAAAGAGACAGTACAGAACAACCCAGAACACCACCAATTCTGCGACCGAGGCGTGTGAAATGTGATTTCAAACATGTCACAAAGTGACTACCTACAGTGGATGGAGAAAGGCAGTCACGTTTCAAAGTTGTATTTCAAGAAGATAAATGTAATAATGCGATGCCAGCACAAAAATTCAGCCGCTAACCTGAACACAGTGGAGCAACACCCAGGGATCAGCACATCCTGCGTTCTGAAAATTGAACTGTAATCTGTATTTATTATTAGGGTCGGCTTATGTTACCCTGCACCAGATCTTCCTAAAGTTATTACTACAGATTATTCTCATCAATTAACAGTCGCCATGTAATTACGTAGTTAAAAACCAGGAGAAGCATCCCACTTCGTGCAGTTTAGGAAAACTAAATCTCAAATCAAAAAGCAAGCATCTGCATGCAGAGGCCAGCACCACAAAGCCACAACAGAGAACTGAGAGTCTGCAGGCTGATGAAGCAGAGAAAGCGAGGAACAATTACCTTAGAAGCAAGACTTCTCTAGATTTTAGAAACTTTCCTGGTTTTTAAAAAACTGACATAATTTTTTAAAAAAAATCATTACTCACAATATTTACGTCAAATTTCATCTTGCACCGATTCTGTCATAAAATCTTTTTACCTTTTATAGAAGTACTGAACCCATTTTTATAATGGTCAAAATATTTTAAGAATTAACTTTGAGCAGGTCTTTAAAAGAACCTTCAACTCCAAAAGATCAGGACTATAATTTCCTTGATAGCATTCATTGAAATTACCTTCATGTAGTTTAATCTCTACTTTTTAAATTCCCCTAATGTTCCAGTCCAACTTTATAGCACTGGTTCATCCCCTTGCTCCGTGTGCCACAAACCCATAGCTCTTTTGAGCAACTACAAAGCCGGCATTAGGGGAGGGTTTTTCCTCTACCAAAGTTACTTGTTCCCATACGAGGCTCAGAAGGGGAATGGCACCCAGGATGAAATAACATCATTTCACCAAAGGTAACCGACTGTTCTCAGGAAAACACTATTTAAAAAAACAAAAAGCCCCACCACACAGATACAAAATCCTGGTAACCGGAAGAGCACGAGATAAATAACATTTCCTCAGCGTATTGAGGCCTGCCATCATTTAAATATTTTAAACATACAAAATAGGTGCACAGATGGGCAACTTTTCTCCTTGCATCACTAAAAACATATTTCAAGATAATGCTCAAAATCCCTGAATTTTTAAAACCTAATTGTGACTCTGTTTCTTAGAATTCACACCCCAAGGCCAAAGCTTTCCTGCCACCAGTCCTTCAAATCTGCTTTGGACATTACACGGGAGGAGGCTCCGAGCCTCCCCGAGGTCTCGCTCCTTTTCCAGCAGACACAGACCCAGCAGATAATGGGCCTACGCTGAATTCGCGGCTCTGCACGGCTCCTCCTGGGACCCAGGCCTAGCAGATGTGAGAAAAACTGTGGCAGAGAAGTAGCTCCGGTTTTTGCCTTAATGACAACTTCAACCTCTCGACTAACAGAACAAAAGACAGAAACGACTATTACTTTTTTTCCAGTAGAAAAAAAAACCCTGAAAGTAAAGCTGAACTAAAGATTTAATTCAAAGAGACCTCCTCAGTAGATGTCTTTAAAACCTCTGCAATTAAATTAAGATTTAGTTTTATGCTAAAACAAATGGATTTTTAGCTAACGTGCAAAAAAAATTTAAATAAAAAAAATCTACAGTTGCTGTGGTAAGAATAATTGTTCCAGTCTGAAATCACATACAAACAAGCACCAAACAAATCAAGTCCAATTATAGGCATGAACACTGATAAATTGGTAAAGATAAGAAGTGTCTGTATCAGAAAGCCAGAATACAAGCTGAACGAAATGTATTTTAAATGCTTAGTGACTGAAAACAAGGAATACCTTTGCTTCCACATTTAGGAAAAATCGGATGAGAACTATTAGCTATGAAAAGACAATCACACACTTCTCGCACCACGAGCCAACTGCACAAGTATACTGCATCAAAACCAGAGCTTTAAATATATACTCTGGCTACCATTTGTTAAATATTATAGTTCTGGCTTAAGATGACTGGCCCTTTTCGACGTCGTCTCAACCGCTCTATTCAGCTATAGCTGCATACCCACTTAATCAGCAATCATTGTTCTCCGAGGCAAGACTTTGTTGTCAAGACAAA